GCCACTGGAGTTGTTGCAGCATAGACGACACACTGCTGGTAGTGTGGTAGTCACCGGTGTTGGATCTGGCTGACCAACGCTGCACCATCTTGAGTTTGTTGATGTTGTTGGCTGTGGAGGGATCGCAAATTACACTGGCATACTCCATAATTGGTCTTACAAGTGTCTTATAGTACAGTTTCGTGGACACTGGTAGATGTTACGTTGTAATAAAGCTCTGGTGTTGTTAGCTTTCTTAGCGACCTGATTGATATGGTCATTCAAGCTAAGGCTGCTGTGGATGTTCACTCCGAGGTATTTTGCTGACCCTAGGATGTGGTCATTGATATGGTGTATGGAGATGTTATCGGATATCTCTTAGTTGTTATGTGGAGAATCTGGCACTTCTGGCTGGGGTTTGAATTCCATGAGCCAGTCTTGCTCCCAAACTTGTAAAGCGTCGAGGTCTGCTTGCAGTTTACTACTATCCTCCGGTTCTTGATCTCTGTACAGCACACAATCGCAGCAAAGAGCCGCACAGTGGAACCATTGGTGAACAGTAGGAATAGGATCGGCCCAAGTACGCTACCCTGAGGCACACCATAGAGTACAGGAGCACTCTGGGACTTGCAGCCATCGAGTACCACTTGTTGTGAGCGTCCACTTAGGAAGTCTCCTATCCACATGGTTTCTTTGATGTGGATCCACCACAGTGAAGATGTATTCCGATTTTGGGCTTACCAGAGTAATTATATGCATTTTTTACAGAATTTATTATCATGTAACGGCATAGAAATCCTTGGCACTGGTTTGCTTTAGAGGAGACATAATGCATGCTTTGATCCCATTTGAGATCTGATTGAACAGCTATTCCAAGGTATTTTGCCGAGTCAGTTGTTTGAAGAGTATATATATTATGTAAAGTGTATTGGTGATGTTGGACCTTTCCTTTGCCAGAAACGGTAAGGACAGAACATTTATTACGATGGAAAGTCATCACGTTAACATACAAATCATTTGATATCTGATTAACCACCTATATACATGTATGGTCATAGGTTTTTTTCAAGATACACTGTGCTATTAATACACAAGGACGATCAGGTGGCGCAGTGGATAGCGCACTTGCCTTTCACCAAGGCGGCCGGTGTTCGATTCTCCGATCTGGCGTAAAAAGGTAAAAGGTCATCTGCCCGATTATGTGGGTTTTCTTCGGGTACTCCGGTTTCCTCTCACAATAAGACCCCCGCTCGCTAGCATTCGGGCCAACAAGAGTGATTGATATAAGTTGAAATAACTTAATTTATAATTGTTGTAAAACAAAGAAAGTTTATATGGAATAAAACAAGTAGATGAAACATGACATTTTGTTTTATTTAATTAAAAGATAATAATACATGATAGCGCCTTTATGTTTTCGGTTTCCTATGTATCAGACGTCTGCTTCATGCTTGCCTGCACTCTGGCATAACTTCTGGCCCACTTTGCTCTCCTTTCTGCTGCCGCCCTCTGGCGGTTGAGTCTTGCCCGCTCCTGTTTTTTGTCGATGTCCGCTCTGTTTATTGGAGGAAGCCGTCGTGGAGGGTCGTAGATTACGGCTAAGCATGCCTCACGGGAGTAGGTTTCGTATTGGGGGTATTTCCTCCTGTATTCTGGAGTACCCGGGAAAGCGAAGGGGCTCCAATGATCAAATTCGAACTTGCTGCCAATCTCGAGCACAAATGCCACTCCTCACTCCCCCTTCCTTGGGATGATTCCCTCCTGTTTAAGCTGCATAAGCGCTGTATGTTCTGTTTTGCGAGCTGTGTTGGAAGTTTCAGCATCCAGTGATGGCCCAAACTTCTCTTTGACAGGAACGTTGATGGGCTCGACCTTTCAGAAAGAAATAAGACATTTGTTTGACTTATTGAAATTAAAAAGGCAATCCTTGCTGTAAGGGGTAT